CCCCCCCCCCAAAAACAAGCTGTTTCGTCGCATTTTTTTCTCTTCAGAGGACAGAAAGTTCACACTAGCTAAAATTTGCCGACCGAGTGTGGCGTTAAATAAAAATCACTACTGTGCATAGCCGACGAAATGAACGTTCAAACAACTAATGTCTAAATAACTTAAGTGGATATCTCCTAGAGGCAACAACTTAGCCACAGGACTTCTCACATGATTTGCCCTCAGGAAAAACTACCGGACGCAACTGGCGGAAATTTGTGCCTACGGCTGAACGTATGCTTGCAGAACTTGTCTGTTCTTATCAGCACGCGCTCTTCTCCTTGGTCGCATGGAGATGGGGTCAGACAGCAGAACACCTGTCACATTTTGAGTCCATTTGGATGCATGGCTCCTCCAACCATTGAGGAAAAAGATGAACCGAATAAAGAGTTGGTGTTCTTTGAGTGGTGCTCGAGTAAAGAAAGACCGTGTCCATGAAAATGTTACGATTAATAGTGAAGACGATCAGCAGGCTGTCATAAAAATGACAAAGAAGAAGGGTGAATTCCTTGTATGTCGCCGCAGAACAACCTAAACATTTGATCATAAAAGACTCCGTCATCAGGAGAAGATTTGTCGGGAAGTATCTTTGGCACTATCTAATGACCGAGAAGGCTTTTCTTTATTTTTACGATCGCTTTAATGCGCCCTTAGATACCTCTCACATTGCATGGTGTTCGTGGTCACTATCTGTTATAGCATTAAAAACCCCAAGTGCGATGAAATGAAATAGGAGAGATCAGGCGAATTCAGAAATGATCAAGATTTATCAAGAAACTGGCCTGGCCTATACTCGATTCGGGCTGTACACTAATGATTGTGATGAGAGATGAGCAGACATATAAGAGCTCCTAGAGTATTCTTCTTGGTTTCCCTCAAGGACTTCTTTTTTCGACGACCCGTATTTAAATTCCTGCAAGATGACCACTTAGCCCCATCTTCAGAACTGTATGTACGTGTCGTTTCATCAGTGAGTTACGTAGAGGAGCTTTCTAACTGTGCACATCGGAATCATTTTAGTTCGTTGTGCCGGATCCACGTGATGAACCGAATATTTAGGAGTTAGGAAAGTCTCAAAATGATGGGCTTTTCAGAAAATCCCAAAAAGACGACTTTAGTAAAAAGAAGAGAATTCGCAAATCGACTGCGTAATGGCTCAGGGACGTACCCAAAACCGCTCGACAGTTGGGGTGTAAATGAGCATCCAGTAGTACCGGAAGCAGTTTATGTTGTTCGTAGTCAGTGAGTGCGCCAAGCCTCGACTGCCGTAATTAGCATATTGTCCTGTACAAAGAAAGTGGATGGCAAGTAATTCCGCACTCACCTTCGCAACCCGGGACGTTTCATGAATATGTTATCACGGTAACACTGAGCTGCCGGGCTACCTGGTCTTCTTGTAGTTCACCTTTTACAAAATCGATATGCAAGCGAGGAAAAGCATATAAGTTCTTGAGGATCTCGTGATTCGTAAACGCCTAGCCAAAACTCCTCACCATGGATCTTTTAGGATAATTCGGTCCCGCTTTAGGTGATGAATCGTCTAAATATCCTATGGGTACTCACGAGGACTGAATTATTATTACTTAAATTGCCAACCATGCTGTCGTTCAGCGAATGAACCAACTGCCATTACTAGGGTTTTCTCAAACGAGCACAAGGAAGCAATGCAACCACAATGCGCCAAACCTAATTTTGCATGTACATTTCTGGTGGACCATTAGATGTGCTGTTTCATTGGTGGAAATATTCGCTGGAAATGTACATATTCGTTAGAGTTGGAGGTAAATCAGCCTTCGCGTTCGACAATCACTCCCATTTGCAAAAACAATTTGGTGTTGATCGGAGACGATAAGGTACCGCGATATCTTGAAAATCGTAACAACTAAAATTTGAAGCTACCTGCTACAGCGCACTCACTTTCAGCGGACCATCATGGACGGAAGATTCAGATGGGTTCAGCTGAGCCGGTTGCACAGCCTGATCTGCGTGCAAATGAGAGTATTTGCAAAACTCTGTACAATTTAGGTTCAAGTAGAACATAAGTTTAAAGATAACCTGGCGACGCGGCCTACCTAATGAGCCTCAAGAAGAACGAAGGCGAATGTAGGCTGTTGAAGAATTTTCACCAACAGAATGAATAGTGTGGAGCTTCTAGAGAACTGAATAACCATTGTTGTAAAGCGCATCTGATTACTCTATTGTACCCTACTTCAATGTGATATGATGATTTTCGACGCTCAGTTTTTGGTTTTCAAATGAATGTGTCCTTTGAAAGATAAATTGTTTGAACAAAAACGTTGTGTGGACCTGTGCAAGGGAACACGTGCATGTGAAAGGCGCAGTTAGTTTATTGAACAACGCACTATTGAATTTCGCATCGGCAAAAAGCATGCGTGCTAACACTGTGAAGATCACATACCATTTGGAGGCTGTACAGCAACAAGCAAATCATTCGGAATGAGTGAACATTTCATTTTTATCTTGAGTTTTTGGTCTATTTTGTCGACGAAGCCAACAATATCATTTCCAATCGATCGCTTTCGAGGGAGCCTTGGTATGTAAAGAGTGTGAATTTCTGGGGAAGTCATCGCGAGGTGTCTTCCATAAGTGCACACCAACACACCATGAAGAGAATATGCAATCGGAACACACTCGGAAGGGCGATCCGCTACGGACACCTTTTGATAAGTTGTCCTTTCAAATGGACAGGGCTCTTTAGAGCGTCAGGTAAAACCGCAGAGAGCTCATTTGTGTCGAACCAGTAAAATCTGCTGAAAAAATAGCACATGCTAAGTGTCTTCAGTGCACTCTGTGATGCCACAGTATCATACGAACTTTTGATAGCCATACCATTGGCCTGAGTAAATGCAGTGGTCAGCTCACATTTTCACGGTACAGTCAACCAGCCCAAAATATTGGGCCTATTTTCACCTGCTTTCAATCCATCCCGTAGAAGACATTATGCAACAGGCTACAACTGATTCTCGTAAGTAAAACTGCCTCTTTTATGTCATGGAGTTTGACTATACATATATGGTATTCCCAAAGACAGTTAGGTGATCTCACTAAGCAGTAGTTCAGTTCCCAGGTCACGTAATCCACAGAGAGTTTCTGCAACAAGTCTATGGTTGTTACACGAGAAACCAACCATGCAATTTTAGCGGTGTGTATTAATGGCAGATGATGGATGTACCATAGTTTATATTCCCTGAGTAGATTAATGTACGCAAGAAT